TTTCATGCTATAGTTCTACTGCGCTTATGCTGCACTGAACTGCAGTTCTACTGCGGTCAGACTGCGCCTAGAATTCTTATTGTCCTCCCTTGCCTAAGCTATTTTAATGGTTAATTGGAACTTGACTGCGCTGTATTTGTCGCAGTTACCTATTTCAAATTCCCTATATATACCATTAAATTTGCTATGACTCGATGATTCTGAATTCAAACTTCGCATTACTATGCATACGGCTGTGCTGAGACCTTCAGCTGATTTATTCCAATTTTATTTAGTGACATTTAGTTAAAATGAGACTGAAATGATAAATGAGTGATTATTCAGGTTTAAAACTGAAAGAAAAAGTTGCTAGTAGTCAAGAATTACTCAAACGAATGTGTTATAGCTCTCCACTTCATTAGAACATCGTTCCCTAAAATTCCTGCCATGGTCTGTCGTAGTTTAGTGGTTTTCGTGAATTTCGTTCATATTCCTGATTCCTTTTGTATTATCACATCCTAATCCTCCATATGTATTGTTGGTTGTTATAGTAGGTTGTCCTTGAAATATCATATTTTTATGTATTTTATTTAGGACTCTGGACCTCTTGAAGCTGTCTTCCCATGCGTTTTCAGGTTTCTAACTTCAGGTCCTTGTATCTCATTCATTTCTGGATGTTTTCTCACGTTCTTGGTATCATAAATTTTTATTTATTCCCACCTTTCCAATGGTACTAAGATTGTGTCCTATTTCCTGGTATTCGTTGAGTTAGCAAAGATTCATGTGCACATTCGGTAATCACATGCATCGTTCCATAGTCGTTCATATGCGGGAGCCGTTTTCGTTTAATTGTTCGGGATTTATGATATGCGTGGGTGTTTATTTCTTTCATATGGGCTTCTGTGATTTATTTCAGATTTTTCCCTCATGATCTAAGGTTGTTTTGCACTTTCCGTGCTTTGTTTTGACCAGGCTCTTCCTTATTTGGATGGAAATTGGTCTTCGCAATCTGCCGAAGTGCGGATCTCGGTTCCGACGGCCAGTTCCCTGCACATCGCCACCCTCACGTGTCATTACACATGATGCGGATTTCTATATTCCCGTCATGGGTATAACTTCACAACGGCTGGACCGTTTGGGCTGAAACTTTGCATAACTATAGTTCCCCATTTTTAATAATTTCTGTATAAATTTCGTTGTATGTTTTAATTATGGATCTTATGCAAACATCGTCTTTTCCCTGAGCTCGGACTTTTGATGTTGCTATTCCCGTTATTGGATATCTCATTAACGCATGATCCTTTTATTATGAAACTTTGGGAGGATTAAGTTTAGATCCCTTCCTTTCTAATGGGCTATCAAGCTTGTCTCGGTCGTTACTAGTTAATCTTCACGCTTGCCTTTTAGACATTGTCCTCGTTTTGCAGGAGTTTTAGTCATATCTCCGTCGGTTATCGGTAGTTTCCCCTGTAATCACTCTCATTGGTTCCTTTTGGGGGACATCTACATTTCCTATTATAAACACGACTTTGACTTTTGCATTAGTTCCTGAGGAATCTTTGTTCCGTGGTACTTCCATCCTTGGCTACGTGTGTGGACGTGGGAAAGTAGTTTCCATGGAGGTTCTCTGGTTATTTTTATAGTCAAATCTTGGTCAATTGTCCTAATTCTTGGTTTAATATTTGCTATAAATTCCCCCGAGAATTCCGTCTCGTTGATGGTGAGCTTGAAGTATTTTTGCTATTTTTCTTTCTTTCGATTTATCGTGTATAGTCATAATAATTCGTAAAAATTCAGGTCCTTCTATTTTCTCATATCTACTTGTCGTATGAGGTTTTGTGATTTATCTGGCATTTTTCCATAATGGGTTTCCATAGCGTGGCCGTTATTTCTCCTACACCGCTGGGAAATTCACTTGCTTGCCCTGCAAGCCTACCTTCAGGTTGATCCCTCCTTTCCATTTCTGGGTTATAGCCACCACTCCACTAACCCTGTAACCTGACTCATTGGTAATATTCAGTCAGCTAACATGTAACTCCATTAGCTCCACTCCACTTGGTCCCACCATTCACAGGCCTGCCCCCTATGTAACTATATATACATAACTTGTAGATAGGTTACACCCTAGTGATAAAATTGACTAGAGTTTCCCTCTTCTAGTTCTCTTTGCCAGTTAGTAAATTAGGGCATGGACATGTAACTAGGCACAGCGCTCCTGGTCTAAGTCGCTGAGGCCAAAGCTGTAAGGTCGGTGTGGGTTCTGACCTGGGTGACTCCTCAGTCCTCTGGCTGTCAAGATCGTAGCCTGTATTGAGCTTAGATTTGACAGGGGTGAGGGTAAAGAGTAAAGAACCCTTTACCCGAGCCCGAGCCATACAAATGTAAATACAGTTGTTTTACATTGTATACAACAAGAATAAAGATGAATAAAGAAACAGCTGCTCCACCCTCCATTCCTTACAAAAGCCCTCTGCCACGGTGTTACAGATATGGAGTCTCCAACGACCATATCCATTGCATGGTCACGGACTTCTCCTCCCTATCACTTCCCCTCTTTCTCTCTTTTGTCCTCTATCCCGATACCCTACCCTCCTTATTCGTTCTACCCTTTCCTCCCCCCTCGTGCAAAGCTTTCCCCATTGGGGTTTTGGTGCTGGCCAAGGTTACTTGTGTTTCACGGGATTTCCCGCAACCTTACCATTTGTAGATAGTCACGTGTCTTGTATGGAAACCGCCGAAGGCGGTTCCCGCTAACTAACAACTGCTCTACAACTGTCTTGTGTGTCGTCTTCTGTAACAACCCTCCTGTGACTCAACCGAACGCGTGTGATTGTACAACTCTCAACATGTCTTATATGTCTGGTTATATCGAGTCCTCTAATGGCCCTCGCTGTGAGAACTCGAGGTTGCGAGTCGAAGACTCTCGACATGTATTTCGTCCTACGGAATCTGTACCCTATGGGTCCTCATCACTCCGCTCTCCCCCAGTACTCGACACACAACGTCACATCACAATCATAGAGATCGTGAATACTCTGAGGCCCACTTTCCCGTGATGCCGGCACATTCACTACATGAACGCCAAGTAGCCGCCCATCCACTGTCTGTTTCTTCCTTCATCAGTCATCATGTTTCCCCGCCAATGGTACGTTCCCTTTGGGAATGCCAAGTCACCAAAGGCCCTGTTAGTCAATCCTCATTGCACGCATATGATATCAACCTGCTACCGGTACGTTCACACTGCGAACGCCAAGTACCTGATGGCAGCTATACAAAGTTCTCACCCATCTCACAAGTTGCGACCTTGCACACAGTACGCTCCATTGAGGAGCGCCAAGTACCCATGGCTGACTCGTCCATCCTGATATCTACGACTACCTACCATCAATCCCTTAATAGCTCACTACATCACCAATCACGATCGATGGGAATTCGATCGTCCCCTCCCAGACAAGACTGGGACCACTCATCGATTACTTATCCCATTATGGTACAGACTAGACATGACCTTCATCTTCCCACTATAAGAACAGATCGAGGAATGGGGAATTTTCCTCATCCCCATAACACACAGGGACGTCTCCTTCATCCCGTATCCGGTCTCTGACATATATATATGATACCATGCAAAGGGTTGGATAGTGCACAGATGCATTGGAGAGACCGGATTAAAATGGAGGTGGGATCACTGAAGCAGCTGGTGACTCATAATCCAACAGGGAGATCACTCTCACCCTACTCCAAAGTGCTGATGCTTAAAATACCACAGCCATTGGGGGCCCAGTGTGCAAAAAGGATAAAATAGTTCCCACATGCCACCAAAGAGTTGGCATCTTTGGCCTTTGACATGTTGGATGGCAGCAGCGATGAGTTGCATAATCCATTTAGAGCCATGTGGTGTCGGTGATAAGGAGCCAGCTGTGGCCTCAAGTGTTGGGCTAGTTTGGGACTAGTTTGGGACAGTCCATCGTGAATGCTTCTCAACTCCCATCTAACCTGAACTCTTAAGTGTCCCTCAACTCAGGTCACTTTAAGTCTAGTTTACAACCCAGTTTAGGACCACTTTAGCTCATTGTGAAACCCCCTATTGTAACAGCGTGCCTTTGTGCACTTGTCTATTGTTTACAAAGCTGCATGTGTATGCTGACTTCAGTGTACATTTACTTCTGTATATAGAGTGGCATGGGGTGTAAAAATGGCTCTTCAGCCTGTTTACTCCCCATTGAATATTACAGTGAATATCTTTGATGGACTGGGAACCAGGCCCTCAACTCAATTAAGCTACACACTTCAGGTAGATACTACCCATGACTACTATCCACCTTACAGTTTTTTTTTGCTTGGTGAGTTCCTTTCAACTTTGCTGCTTCTTGATCAATGTTGATATGTGCTGATCTTGAACCTGCCAGACCTTCAAATGAGACCTAGAAGGGTAGCTGGGACACCTTCTGTGGAGCAGAAGGTCAATAGGTCTATGTGCACTCCTGTGCCAAAACCCACAGCTGGAAACAGCCAGCTCAGCTCCTGTCAGGCTGAGCCATTAGATGCACCCTTGGCATCTAATTCCAGTCCTAATCAGGCTGGAGCCATGCCACTTCCCCCTGTGCATGGCGAGGACGATGTCAGGGGATGACTCCTGGGTCCCCATGACCCTCCCCAATGGTCCACAGCCTACTGGTGTAACCAGCCCTATCCAGGGCACAACCTACTGTGGGTAAGAAGATGAGAAGGAAGCTAACTTCTCATCTTCCCACAGTGGCCACCATATCAGGAAAACTTCCGGGGATACCCGGAAGTCACATGAAGGGGTAGGAACTGGGCCTGGAGCATGCGGCACGTGGAGCATGCATGCATGTGGGAAGCGTGGCAGGTGGAAGCAGGTCCAGATGCGGGTCCAGGTCCGGGCTAGTCAGGGTGTGTGCCCTGACAGTCGATACCCAGGCAGAAGGACCATCCCTTAAACCTGGGGATGACCCCAAAGAGGTGTTGACAGGAGGTGATCCCATCCCAGATGCATCAGGTCAGCAGGCGCCAGATCCAGTGCTGCCTATAGACAAGCCACCTGACACAAACACAAATGATGCGCCAGAACCAGGCACATCGACCTTGCCCCCTCCAGACCCTGGAGACCCTGGAGACTCATCTGCAGGCCCAATCCCATAGTTGTTGAGGCTATGAACAAAAGTACGATGGTGGATCATAACAATTCAACCATCGATCTTCCCACAGGAGTGCCTCCAGGCACATTGCTCCAGAACCACCCCCTCCCAATGGAGAGGGTATCCAACCTGATTCTCCGATTGCAGCTAATGCACTTGGGACTGCCACTCCCCCACCCCCACTCGAAAGGATGGGGATGGACATCAAAACAACCCTTGCCATACAACAGCTTATGCTGGTCACTGAGCAGCTTATAGTCAACAACTGCCTAATCCAGATAATGCTGGACTGTCTGGATACCCATGCAGAATGTCTAGCATGGGTTGACGCTGCCTTTGGTGATGCTGTAGGAGTGCATAACGGGTGTGCTCAATTTCATGGAACCTTACACAGCAAATACATCAAAATTGGGCCCCCACCCTTGTACATTATTAGGAAAAAGTAATTATAGAGGGAAGTAATAAGAAAGAAGAAAGACGGTTTTCGTACGAACCGAAAGAGCCTTTCCACAAAGGAATTGGTTGAGATTTGGTGGAGAAATTCAACCTGAGAAGTCCTCATGTGCAAAGTCCATGCACCTGACCATGACCAAGGGGGCAGGGTCAAAAGTTGTCGGAAGAGGACAATATTGAGGTCATTAAATCCAGAAAAATGTCCAAAGTCTCAGTGTTGAATTTCACCCTAATCGGTTCAGTGGTTGTGGAGATATTCTGATTATCAGGCATGATGGGAGTCATGGGACGATATGAACTATTTGGATGCTCACATGCAAGCTAGTCTCAGCGAAATTCCAAGGGAATATGGGCTAGATAAATGATACAAATGCTAAAGAAGTCATTGGAGGAGTCTTGGAATTATGGCATATTATTTGGTCCAAGTTTCCCTGTGCATGGATAATCAAGATATATATTCCATGACTGAGAATTCCCATTCCTCCACCAAATTTCACAAAATCAGTATTGTTAGATAGCTATGGATGAGGAGAGTCGAATGGAATAAAGGGATGGAGTTTGATGCAGTGTTTGGAGTGGTATGAGGAAGTTTGTGCTTTTCTTTTCATTTTCTTTTGTTGTTTGGGATTTTATTCTAAGCCAATGGCAGCCGAACCTTACCGCCATTGTTGGTGGAGGCTTAGCTCAGCCAAACCCATATATTTCGGACTTTTTTCAATAAGTTGTATGTCTGGTGTATGGGTATATGTACATAGTGATTGAAACGGAACAGAGATTCCCCCCTCTCCCTCCATTTTTGAAGTCTGTGTACTTAGTGTGTTGTGAGTGGCCACTTGACTGGTAAGGGAAACAGAGGCCCTTAGGGAAATCCACCATGACAAGAAATTGAAGATTACTTAGTGTTACCTTGAGTTTTTTCCCCTAGTTGTTTTCACAGACCTGTCAATCATGATACCCCTTGTCATATCCATACATACCCAATCCCGATCTGACTCCCAGACCCCCATCTTCACCACCTCCGGAGTCCTACCCTACTGCCATCTGTTCCGATATTCACCTTCGGACCTGACACCACTCCTCCTCTTACCCCTTACGACACCTCCACCCTTCCATCACTCTCCTACCCTACTCCCATCCACTCCGATACTCACCTTTGGACCTGACACCTTTCCTCTCCTCCACTCCTCTCCCTGCTCCTCTCTTCTCTCTCCTCCCTCTGACCCTCTTCCACCAAACCTCCGGCAAGTTACGACCTTCCGCTGTTGTCCCATACCCTGTACTCAGACACCACTTGTACCTTTGCTCCAAGATTCCATCATAGTTCTGACCTTGGACTTTGACTCCACCTCGGCTTACAGTAAGTCCATTGCATTGGTGACCTCATACTATGTAAACACCATTGCCAACATTCCTCGGACTTTCAACCCCGCCTCCGTAACCTCTGTAAGCTCTGCAACCTCCAAGCTCCATGGATCATACTTGGCACTTTTGCTGTTTGTAATGTATCTTTTGCGCTTTCCCCTCATCCTTATTTGGACTGCTGCTTCTCTCCATTCTAGCCAGTTAGTCATCATCCCCACTTCACCTCATCCTCCTGCCCCTCTGGGCTTTGCCCTCCCTATCTCCTTTCGGATGCACCACAAGTTCTAACCTATGACCTTTCAGTGCCACTCCACTTCTATCATCCCTTTGTTCCTGTTCAGACACTGTTGTGGGGACAACTCTGTGCACCGCAAAAAGTCGGATTCCGCGGAATTTGGCCACCAACATACACCACATACCCTCTGACGCTTCCATTGCTTATCCCCACACTATCCAACACTCCATACACTCATTCCTTATTTTTCCTTATTTTCCCCATCATTCCTGACAACCCCAAGCAAAATTCCCATGCCCAACCATGCCGCCAATTTCACCCCCTCTCCAGACCTCCATACCCACACATACAACCCAGCCGTTTTTCTACCCGATAGTGATGCTCTACCATCCTTCTTCACCCCCGGAGCATTTCCCAGAATGGCAATCTCATACCCGGATGGTTCAGCACAGAGTAGAGTCTCACATGGTCTTGACAGCACCTGTCAATGGCCACATCTCAAGAACTACTGCACCAAATGGGATGAATAGGGGCTCGTTGGAAAGCTGGAGACGAGGAGGTTGCTGACGAGAGGATAGGCGGGCGCTGTGGCCAAGTGTTGCGGAGTTAACCTTCACAATTTCCATTTCGGACCCGTTATCACATATTCCCCATTCATTCATTTTTCTTTTATTGTTTCTTTGTTCCCAATGGGATATTCATCATTTACGGTTGCCTAACGGCCCGTTTACATCCCCCCATGCCATTCATTCCATTTCAAACACTAGATAACAGCTTGTACATAACAAGTTAGTACTGAATAGACCCGTGAAGGGATAAGCAGAAGTTACATCCAAGTGGCAAAGATGCCATCCACGACCCTAACGCCCCCTCTGAGCTAGTTGCTCACGTCTAAGACCCCTCTCATCATGGTGAGTGTTTGTTTGAGGTTTTTGCAGACTTGGTAGTGCCCCAGGACCAAAACCTGGCCCCATGAACCACACTCGTGCACACTACCACCCTCCCCCTCTTCTCTGTCTCCCGTTACAATGCCTTTGTTCCATTTCAGACCCCCTTTGATTTCCTTGTGCCTATTATATACAGGCACTTGTACATACTTGTTTTGGACCTTCAGTCTAAAATCGACCTGAAATGCCCCCTAGAGACTTCCTGCTCACTGCCCCTGAAATTAAGGACCAAATGGACAAACAGCAATGGCACAGCACTCCGCATAAGTTGCTGAGGCCAAGGTCCCTCCTTGCTAAGTCGCCGGTTCCCCTCTGGAATTGTCCGCCCTCACCCAGTTCTAACAGTGTAATTCTGTGTAGGATTGTTTAATTTGGATTTTAACTTGAATTAAATCTTTTACTTGGTGAAATTTCAAAGATTTTACTCAATTAATGAGTTTAGATCGTGTCTGAAGTGTCCCTTGACCTTGTCTTATTTTTGTCTTATTTTTATTGCTTGTTTTAACAGTAGCAAAATAACTGTTTTGTGTTTACACTTTGAAATCTGGAGTGCTAACCAGCTCTCCTGTTGAAATATTTACTGAATATTCCTCTCCCTAATTGCTGCCTTTTACTACAGTGGCAATCTTAACTGTATATCACTTTTTCGCACTGGAGTGACAACCAGAAATGCTTGAGAAAAATAATACTCTATTTTCTTACTTCTCTGAGGGGGGGGGGGGGGGGGGAAAGTCGCAGAAAGGGTCTCCCTTTTATACTCCTTGGGTTGCCTTCCTTTTTCATGCTCTACCTCGTATTTACAGGATTTATTTACAGTGTATTTTCCTCAAACTGAATAAAAATGAATTTTTCACGCTATAGTCCTACTGCGCTCAGCTGCACTGAACTGCAGCTCTACTGCGGTCAGACTGTGCCTAGAATCCTTATTGTCCTTCCTCGCCTAAGCTATTTTAATGGTTCAATTAGAACTTGACTGTGCTGCATTTGTTGCAGTTTTCTATTTCAAATTCCTCTTATTTACCATTTAGTTTGCTATGACTTGGTCATTCTGAATTCAAACTTCGCCTTACTGCATGTATGGCTGTGCTGAGACCTTCAGCTGATTTATTCTATTTTTATCCAGTGACATTTAGTTGAAATGAGACCTGAAATGATAAATGAGTGAATTATTCAGGTTCAGAACCAAAAGAAAAAGTTGCTAATAGTCAAGAATTGATCAAATGAATGTGTTATAGCTCTCTGCTTCATTAGCATATCATTCCCTAAAATTCCTGCCATGGTCCATCATAGTTTAGTGGATTTCATCCATCTCCCCTGATTCCCGTTTGTATTATTGCATCTTAGTCCTTCATATGTATTGTTCATTGTTATAATAGGTCATTGCAAGAGGGCTTGCAGCTCTCGATGCCGACTAAGCTCGTGGGGCCAAACTCTCCCTAAACCTCTACTTTCTCTCTTGACTAGACTTATCTCGATCCTTAAACTCCATGTGGGTTCTCCAGGATTCCACAAGGTCCGGGCTCAACTAATCTACTACCCACTCGTTGTGGGCTAGACAGTTGCCCTTATTCCTAATGTTGGAATTCCACTCACTCACACCCACTCTAGTGCATCCTAGCACCTTAGAGGAATTTTGGGGGAGGGGAGAACTTCTTTTCACAAATCTGGTATGTACAGGATTATATCTAATAATTATTTTTAGAAAGAATAGATGGGAAATATTGGTACCATATGGCACCTGGGTACCTTATTAGGCGAAATAATAAAAAGGGTAACAGCAGCAATAAAACAATATCAATCAATAACTGAAATGATGGTGAAATATGAAAATAAAAGAAAATAAGCGATATCTCAACGGATTTACAGAATTATGAGCCGAAATTGAAAATGTAGCCGGAGATAACTCTCACACAGCCGATAAACATTTTTACCAATTTATAGACGATGTGGGAATGAGTGAGGCTGGAATTCTGGGTTGCCACTTGAGATTCCCATGCCCGCACATGCCCATGCCTAACTTGCCCAACATAGAACTCTGTCAAATCTCCACTGATTAGGACGTTCTTGATATCGTCGGAATTGTACGAATTAGCACTATTTTTAGATACCAATTCCGTACCGAGTCGTCGCATGAATAAAAGGGGTTTTCTAATCGTGGAAACGGGTATCCGAGCCAGCGCTGCATGTGGGTGATTATCCTGCCTACAT